CCTTCAAAAATGTGAATGTCCACTTAAATTCTTAACAATGATCCTACTGGTTAGACACCGAAGTTCAAAGTTAGAATTGAACTAAAACAAGCTAATTAATCATCAGATTGGAGATACTAGGTAAATAGATTACTTGAGAAATGTTTTGATATTGCACAAAGATAATTGTCTGCACAAATTGTGGATTCACACACACATTAATCAGTATAGAGATCAGTTTCCATTAAATAAAAATAAATAAATTATGGGCTTGCTTGGAAAGAAATGATTATTTCTTATGGATGACAATGGTGAAATTAAAGAGTTCAGATCGTGGCACCTTCTGAAGTTTCCATTTGATTAGTACAATTTTCTTCCTCCTTGAAAAGTTTCTGAAGCAAGTCCTTGATGCTTCTCTGAGTTTTACCCTTCTGTCTCCCCACTAGATAATAGATCAGAGGGTTAATGCTGCTGTTAATGCAGATACACAAGTAGCCATAATATAGAATGTTGGGATGTATATACGTTGAAAAATACCGGATAAAATAAAAGACATTTAGTGGAAAAGCCAGGACTAAAAAGAAGAAAAGTGTGAGCAAGACAGCTGTCAAAAGCTTCCTCCGCCTTTGGATTTTGGATATGAAGCAGATTTTGATAAACAAGGTGACACTGGAGATGGTCATAAGTGGGAGACAAAGCACAGCATTAACAAAGAACTGATATTTCAGGCGATATTTCAGTTTATATTTATGAACACTTCCAATTGTGAAGTAAATTGAAGAGAGGATGAAGGAAATGGCCCAGATAACTGCACACACAGCAGGAAACATATGCACCGGCCGGTGGCATCGATACCAAATTGGGAAGAGGACTGAAACACACCTATCAATGCTGATGACTGTCAGGAGAAATTGCCCCGCACTGTACATTAACAGCAGGCCTGTTTGGAAGAGTTCGACGGGAAAGTCACAATACAAATGTGTAAAAAGCCAGTGGATTTCGATAATCAGCTCAAAGGTGAGCAAACCAAAGTCCGCAACAGAGAGGTTGATAATATAAATGGCAAAAGTGTTCCTCTTAACGGAGGAGCCCAGGAACCAGATCACAAGGCCATTGCCCAACATTCCCAATAAACAAAAAACCATAGTCAAGATTGCAAAAATATGCACTTCTTCCTTTTTGCCAGAATAATAGCAGGTTATGTTTTTGCTAGCGGTTGTTGCAATGATTTGTCTTGAGACAATGAAAGGAGAGGGGGATGTCGTATCCATAATGCTCCAGTCTTTTCTCTTCCTTCTCAGGCTGCAGATACTCCTGTTGGAACAAAAGAGAAACTGTTTTGCATTAGTCTTAGTCTCTAAAACTGCATATTGCAAGGTGATCTCTAGATTAGCAGTCCTGTCCTCACCATTAAGCATGCAAGGACTCGGTCTGTATGGTTGAAATAAGGGTGATGATCTGGACTTGCTTTTCTGATTAAAAAGTGTTATGTGAAAATCTTGATTCATCAAGGCAATGATGTATTGAAAGTCATCTTCCATCTATGGGTCATCTAGGGTCCTATCTGGTGTTACTTTGGTTCTCCCAAAGTGATGCAAACTGGCTGAATCCCACCCCTGGGTGTACTCATGAAATATGGAAGATTTCCAATTAATATTGTGACTTTAAATAGTAAGCCACATGGATTAATGAATGGGAAGGAAGGAAGGTAATTTGGTTTTGTTAAACTAAGAAAAATGAAATGCTCTAAGCTTCTGAATTTGATGTATGGAATAGGACCAAAAATTGTATTTTACTAATCAAAATGAATCATATACAGAATGTGTACATGAGCAGAAGCTCACTCAAAACATGTAAAATTTTTGCATCATGATGATGATTATCACCATCCTCATGGATTGCATGGGTTAAAAAGCAATTTCAGTCTGAATATGAAATGGGGTTGATGGGATCTGAGGTGAGAAAAAGAAATGGTAGGAAATAATCAAGAAAAACCTATAGTCACTC